GAGTTTTCTTTTTATCTTATCTACATACAATGTATCACTTGGTAACCAGATGAATTCTACATCTTTTTTCAATTTTACTTGTAGAGGTTTTCGTATTTCTGCCAGATTGGCTACATATCCTTCTACATAGTTTAATATTCCAAGAAACCTTTGAAGTTGTTTCTTATCTTTTATTTCTGAGGGAAATTCAGATATTTTGGTCATAATATGCGGTTGCATAGTTAAACTCCCATTTTCTATTTCTAAACCTAAGAAATTAATCTTGGTTTGGGCAATCTTTGCTTTTTTCTCAGAGAGTATTATTCCTTCTTTGAGACATTGTTCAAGTACACGGATTACATGTACATAATGATCTTGTTCAGTTTTGCTGAAGACTATTATATCATCAACATAGACTGTACAAATATTTTTAAACTCTTTACTTGGGTCTTTTAGACACAAAGCATTATCAATTCTTCGTTGGAATATTCCAGGTGCTTGTTTTAGTCCAAAAGGGACTACATTCCACTCATAATGTCCATTGGGACAACTGAATGCTGTTAATTTTCGACATTCTTCTTTAAGAGGTACTTGCCAAAAGCCACTCTTACAGTCAAATGTACTAAAATATTTCATGTCTTTGATTAAATGGAATAATTCTTCCTTTTTAGGTAAGAAATATCCATCCATTTCAGTATAGTCATTTAACCTTTTGTAGTTGATGACCATTCTTCTTTTATTTCGTCTCTTTTCTGATTCTTTTTCAACCAGAAAGGCTGGACTACTATGCATTGAATTACTTGGTCTAATTACTTTTATTTCAAGTAATTCTTTTATCTGTATATTAAATTCTTCTCTGTCTCGAGGAGTATAACTCATGGGTTTAACTCTTATAACTTTTGTAGGATCAATGAGTTTTATTTCAGCATGTAAAGCTTTATTTTGTATGCTTTTATTTAGTATTTTATCTAACGGGTTTTCACTCGTTATTTTCTTAAGAGCTTTTTGGCAATCTTCAAGAGATAGTTTATAAATCGTTTCGTGTTGTGAAAGTAAAGTTTTCATAATAAATTTACATTGCATTATTTTGAAAAAGATTCTTTCTAGATCTTTTGTTTCCTCATTATATGCAATATTTTTCTTTGGATTTTTTATAACCTCACCACGTTTTCGTAGTTTGGCGTTATGTTCCATAAATTTTTCGGATGCAAAGCTATAAGCTTTACTGACAATACTAATATGTACTGCTGTACCATTAAGATGGAGCAAGACATAATCAAGTTCTTGAACAAACGGTCTGTATAATTTCAAAAAATTGTTTCCTATCAATAAATCAACTCCAGTATCTTGTTGATATATTGTAGGAACATGAAACTGTTCACCGGCAATGTGAAAAGTTACATTATAGGCTACTTTTGAGAGGGTAATAACCTCTTTATTGGCAACTTGTGCTGTAATCTTTTGTTTAGCAGTTTCCCACTTTTCTTTGGGTAATACTAGCTGATTTGCAGCGCAAATACTTGCTCCAGTATCAATATACCCATGAAGGTGATATTGTTTATATCCAGGAAATTTAAATCCAACTTTTATATATGTACTATTTGGATTGGTTATATTTGACAATCGTTCCATTCATCAGAACTTTCATCACTACAACTTTCCCATTCTGAATTTGGTTTTGTACTAAACCTTTTAAATTCTAATTCAAATTTTAATTCATATTCTGAGCTATTTGAATCATTTTCTGACTCAATTGGTTCAAAACTGTATTTTTGCATTGCATAAAGCATTTTTACTTTATCTTTTTGTTCATTTCTTTTTGGACATTCGTTAGCATAATGTCCTTCTTCTTGACATAACCAACACCTACAATTAGTTTTGCCCTTAGGGCAATACTTATTGTTTTTCTTTCCAAACCTTTTTCTATATTTTGGTTTATTAGTATTATTATAACTTTCTTTTTTATATTTTCTATACTTGGGAATGTATCTCTTATATTTTTTAAATTTTTGCTTGTTTTGTTTGCGATAAATCTTTTCTTTCTTTGTTCTACATCCCCATTTATTTGGGATTTCTAATAGTTGTGGATCACAACAAGGTTTATTTTGGTAGTATAAAAGAGTTCCTCTTAATTGGGTGTCTTTGCATCTATCTTCTATTGTTTCTTTTAGAAGATTAACTCTTCCTGCAAAGCCATCGGTAATATGGTCAGATTTATTAGACCATTTTTTATTCATTTCAAAAGCCCACAAAGGTGGTAGTTTATTAAAATATTTTTCAGCATAAGCTGGTCTATCTTCTTGTCTTAACACGTAGTACCATTTTTCATACTCACATGTATAATTTTTCCAATAACAGATATCACATATCTGAATATTATCTAAAATGAACTTTGCCTTTTTATGTCTTTCTTCTAAGACAGCGTTTGTATTATCTAGTTCTCTTACTCCTACAAATTCATTAATTAGTAATTTAGCAAGAGCATTTAGATATTCTATGTTATCTTCTGGTTTATTCCAATGAGCATCAAGGCTAGGAACATATGGATTTGAGTCCCACCAATTTTTAACATTTCCTTTCATATGAAGTTCTAAGTATGTTCTCAGTGTTCTTAGGTCTTCAAATGCTTCTTTATTAGTTTGTATTACTACTAACATGTAGTTGTACCAACTTTTTATTTTTTCAACCGGTTTTGCTAAACAGTCTAAGTCAAGAATGTTGTCGTTATTATTTTTCGAGTCATCTCTTGGAATAAACTCTTTTGGAATAAAATTCTTTGATTTTTTCTTATAAGTTTTAGTTTTGCTTCTATTCATATTCATCATTCCTGGGAAGTTTACTTCTGGGAATGTTTCATATGTTTTATCTTCGTCTGATACTCCAAAATACCTATCAGCATTTGGATTGTAAAATTCATCATTTCTACATTCTTCAGGAGTCATGAATTCATGGGTATCACAATAATTACTTGGTCCTGGAGGAATATCCTTCAGGTCTTCTTCAATCTTTACATTTAAGCGATTTTTAGGTTCTGAACTATCACTTTCTGTACAAGATTCACTATAATTACCTATGAATTCTTTCAAAGATAATATATTCTGATATTTATCTATTAAAGATTGAACATCAGTTTCATTTTGACTCAATTCTGAATCAGAACTCATTTTTTCTCTTCTAGTCTTTTATATTTGTCCTTTTCAAATAAATCTTTAAGATTCCATTCATTGGGGGGTCTATAAGTAGGTATAGATTTCTTTTCTTTAAAGACTTTTATAAGTTTTTCTATTTCTATTGTTTTTGTGTCTTGGTTACTAAAATCAGACTGATGTATTGTTTGTTCTATTTTTAGAACGATTTCTTTTATTTCACTAACTATTGTTAGAATTTGTTGTACATTTCCTATTTCCGGATTTTTAGACATTTATTCCTAACTCATTTCCAATTTGATTTACAAGTTGGATTACTTTATTTAGTTTTTCTATTAGTGGGTCAATTTTTGGAATTTTCCCATCTAATTTTGTTAGAGTTTCTTCTAATCTGTTTATGTTTATTTTATTAATATTTTCTATGATTTTATCAGCTTTTGCTGCAATATCAAGAATTTCTGAAAGTAAAGTATCAAGAAATTCAATATTTCTACTTGTTTTTTCGAGTCTTTCAAGAATTAGGCCTTGATTTTCTCGAATTTTTTCAATATTTTCCCAGAGGGGAGTGTTTTTCATTTTTTAATGCTTTTTAAGTGAGTTAGTACCGTTATGAGTAATACTGGTACATTTTCTTTTAAGGAGTGGTACAAAGATAAAATTGTGTTTTATCTAATTGGTATAAGGGTAAAAATGTATTTTTCCCTTATGAGGGGACCAATTCTTTTGTCTTTAGGGAGTGGAAAGGAAGAAAATTTTGTTAGGGATTGAAGAGGAAAGTGAAAGTAGGTTTGGGGATTTAAAAGGAATTAGCCGTTAAATCTTTGTATTTTGGCTTTATATGAATTAAAAAAAGATATGCATGTAATGTAGGTTGACAACTTTTAGTCAACTATGAATAAAGTGTTAATAAATGAATCATGCGAGGAAAAATTAAGTGTTAGGCATATTCACAACGATTTCGAATTATTAACTGTCCAATTTAAATGGTTCAGGTGTCCACCCTCGATAGCTACTACTCTTATTTACCTGAGCCATTGAGAAAAAATGATGGAATTTAGAAACCAAAACCATCATAATCGGTAGTGTATTAGGTAAGACATAAAAATCCCATGCAATGAGGCTACATTATTCAAGAATCATTTACGTTGATCACTAATTAACCCTATGAAAGTTTCACCCTTAACGTGTATAATTTCGTTATACTTGAGAATTTATTTTGGATGCCACACACTAATATTTGTGAATAATGCTATTTATAGTTTAATTTGAAACCATTGTATTCGAGGCCGAATATTGTGAATGTGATAAATGATTTGAAATAATTGCAAAGCACGTCAGACTAGCCGTGTGGGGCCCACCGAGACCCTTGAATGCTATCAGGTCAAACATCAAAAGTCAAAAAGCAAATAAAAGCTGAATTACCATGTACATGAAATGTTATAACATATTTATGAAATTCATTTTCGTAAATCATATACGCGATATTGTGTATATGTGTATGAAATATTGCTCTATTATTGTAAAATCTCTGTAATAAATGGTTTGACGGTCAACTAAGATATATGATACTTCACGCGCTTTTGTGATTCGGATTCTGGGTCGGGTCGAGTTGGGTCATTAAGAAAACTGAAAATCTTCTAATATGAAGCCATATTAAGAAATTTCATATATCATTTTTCATCTTCAGTGAGTAACAATATTGATTTACAAATTGTGGCCCATGATTGACATATATATATATATATATCATACATACACACACGATCATCTTGAAACTATAAATAATTATCCATTGGTTCACAATCATGTCTCAATTCAGTACAGAAACGAGAGATGAGTAAAAAAGTCTCAATTTGTATAATGTAGGCAGTATATATGGCTGCTGGTACGTATGAAATGATGAAATCAATACTTTACAGAATATCATGTGATTACGAATCAATTAATAATTAATTAATCACTGAAAAGCAATGGTAATTGATAGTGCACACTATAGAGTGGTGGAATTAGCCCATATCCAGTTTTGAGATTTGTCGGTCCAATTAAGAATTAGGCGCATGCACACTACATTTGCATTACCACATTATGAACTATCTTATCATTGGCTTTTTTTTTTCGATATAGCTTTTGCTTTAGCTTTAGTTTTTTTGTTTTTTTGTTTTTTTTGGTTTTTTTTTTTTTTTGCT